TAAGGGCGGCAGCGGTGGTGGATTTAGTGGCGGATCCAGTTTTGGTGGAGGCAGTAGTTTTGGTGGCGGCAGTAGTTTTGGCGGTTCCGGCGGTAGCTTTGGTGGCGGACGCGGTGGCGGCAGTGGCGGCGGTGGCGGCGGTGCCGGCTATGGAGGCGGTGGAAGCGGCGGCGGATCGTTTGGTGGCGGATCCTTTGGCGGATCGGGCGGTTCGTTCGGCGGTGGCTTTCAGTCATCCGGCGGTGGTTTCAAAGGAGGCTCAGTCGGAGGCGGCGGAGGAGGAAAGGGTGGTTACGGCAGAGCTTAAGCGCACTATTCATGAACGCCGACATCGAATTGAAAGACTAATGTGACCGACATTTTAACACTACTTATAAATTATTTATCAAATCAATAGTTGATTGAAAAACAGACTCTTTTATAATTGCTTTTGTAATCAGTTTTCCCTCTAATTTCATAACATATTGTAATATAAATCAATTTAAGCGAACATTATGTAAACGGAAAGTGTTTTTCCACAAAAAAAAAATTATACAATTATATAAAATATAATTAATAAATTTAATTGTAAAATACAAATAAATAAAGTCTCGTCGATTTTGAAATAATTTTATTGATTTTGTTGTGAATTACTTTTACATAAATTAAGTTAAATTAATTTAAAATTCTGTATTGCTAATGTAATTACTATTTGCCCATATGAGGATTAAATTAACTTGAACACTTTTTTATACTAGCGTGAGAGTGTACTTTTGTGCATAAACAGACCAGGTTATTTAGTATTTCGTCCCATCCTTAACGGCCATAACCACTAATTAAAAAAGTATCATAAATAATTAGTTTAATCAAATTATAAAATACATCATGCTGTGAACTTACTGGCCATATCCGCCATAACCGCCATATCCTCCATACCCTCTATATCGTCCATAACCTCCATAGCCTCCATATCCTCTACCATAGCCTCCATAACCACCGCCGTATCCTCCATACCCACCTCCATATCCACCTCCGTACCCGCCATAGCTATTATAATTATTTAAAGTAAATCAATTAGGTCGTTTTTATTATAAATTAACAATGTTTATTTAGTATAACAAACCAGTCGTACCCATAGCCATGCGAATGCACTACAGTTACTAAAACTGACACAAACATCGCGATCACAATTACTGTCAAAATTTTGTTTAACATTTTGATGTTAATAAAAATATTTTTTAAATTTAAATACTTCTAAATAAATAATTGAGAAACAAACAAATACTTGAGCTCCTTATATACTTGTGATGAGTCTTTGCTAATTGTTTATACATAAATCAATTAATGTTATTTAAAATTATTATAAGCAACAAAAAGTCCCACATCATTAACGCGTGAATGCGTTTAACGTTAAATTAATTAACATTCAATGCCCGGAATAGATTCATAATTATTGATTAATTTTACTATGTATTAATGCAAATGTCAATATTTTATTTATTAATCAAAGTACTCTAATATTGCACTTACAATGAAATATCCTTGGGTAAATACGTGATTACAGGCTAGGCTCGCGTGTTAAAATTAACTAGATAATTTATTATCTATATTTTACTGAATTAAACGCTATGTAAGTTGTATGCACTGGAGTGTAATTATATTTCACAATGAAAACATAATTTGTAGTTAAATTTTATTGAACCTAGGTTGAAGTATTTGTATATTTGCATATAATGTGCTGGGGATTTACACGTATGACAATGTGTTATTAATTATAATTAATTTGTTTATGGACGAGTTAATGAGTTGTTGTCACAACACAACTAATCATGTTTTTATTATTTATTTTAATTTAATTATGACTAATATTTTATTATTTGAATTTCTTTACATTTTTTTTCAGGAAATTTGTTTCATATATAATATTAATTTTGCAGTTTATATAAAGTATATTATACAGTATTATATTATACTTTATTAATCAGTAAAAACAATTAATCAAAATTTTTGTTTAATTAAAATGACATCGATTTATATAGTATAAGTCATTTTGTTATATATTATGGGTGTAACTAAATACGTTATGTGATATTAATTTTATATTGATTAAACTGACATTTAAGTAAATTACATTATTTTAGTTTAGATTGAATGTAATCTAAGCTGTATTATTTTCATATATTAATACTTAAAATTAGTAATATATGAAAATAATACAACTTATATACTATTCATTCTAAAGTTTAGAATCTAAACTAAATAATTAAGTAATATTATACGTTATTGTGAAATTAATTCATATTTAATAAATAAAAATATTTAAATAAATTATTTGGGAAATCATTTTTAAATATCAACTTTATATTATAAGCATTTTATACTGCTATAATTTTTAAAAGACCATGTTAACAAGTATTCAATCTAAAATTACATTTATTCGTTCAATAATACCAGCTATGTTATTTAACACTAATAATATCTATTATTGTAATAAAATTCAATATATTAACGAGAGTACCCAGGATACAATAATAATGTATAACCCGGTAATGTATTATTATTAAAAACATAATTTATAATGCGTTAATTGAATTAATAATTAATACAGCCAACCAATAGTCATATCAACGGAATGAAACTAGTACTCCTTAAATATATGACCTGTCACCTAAACGTTCTAGTTAAATTTACATACGATTTCTTTGGTGATTTTCACAAAGTAACATTTAAATTATTATCAATACTTGATTGTAACTTTATTATTAATAATTTTTATTAATTGTTATAGTTATTAACTATTTTTGGACCTGTTGAATCTTGGTATTTATTCAAACTGATAAGATTTATGTCTGGTATTGCATTGAAAACACTACACAAATTTGAAATTATTAGTGGTATCCAATTTTACCATGATCAATCATATTATACGTTTACTAATAATTTTGATTACGAGGTGCTAATTAACATAGACAACTTATTTATTTTATAATAATTGTTAATTACTTTACTTTATTGTTAATCACTTTACTTTACATTGCAGGTATGGATATGTATAGGAATTGTGGTAATAGTTATGTCAATATTTATTAAATCATGTCCTAAAGTGACGCACAACTCATATGTCGATGCTTTCATACAAGTGTTCAGAGGGTTAACAATGCAATCGTCGGCAGTGTTTGATAAATACTGTAATATAAATCCATATAATAATTGGCCATTAAATCCAATGACTACTATAATGACCACGTGGTTATTTACTACACTGATTATAACAAGTGCATTCACCGGCGTGTTATTAAATACATATTTTAATATAAAATATTACCCAATTGTGGACACATTAACTAAAATTGTAAACCACAAAAACGTGATGGTATTTACCGATTGGAAGATAGATGACATACACGATGAAATAAAAAGATTTCATAGTGATAATAATAAACAATTATATAATAAGATAATTTATAAAATTAACCAGTATGGAAAGTATTCAATTAATTATGGTGACGCATTGTTATTTAATCCAACCACTTTTCAAGATATGGCCAGGGGTCGTATAGCTATTTTAACTCGGAGCGAATTTGTACATTCATTTAATTCGCGATTTAGAGTGTATAATAGTATGTATAGTGTGAGCAAGCACAAATACTGTTATGATTACAGTTATTATCTGCTTCAGGTCGTATAGCTATTTTAACTCGGAGCGAATTTGTACATTCATTTAATTCGCGATTTAGAGTGTATAATAGTATGTATAGTGTGAGCAAGCACAAATACTGTTATGATTACAGTTATTATCTGCTTCGAAAACGCCACAGATATTATAGCAAAATGAAATTTGCGTAAGTAACATTTAGAATATATAATTTATAATAAAGTTATATAGTGTGAGCAAGCACAAATACTGTTATGATTACAGTTATTATCTGCTTCGAAAACGCCACAGATATTATAGCAAAATGAAATTTGCGTAAGTAACATTTAGAATATATAATTTATAATAAAGTTAATTATAAAATTAATAAAATAATAAACAGGTTTAAACAAATTGCAGAATCTGGTATTTTGCAACATGATTATGCTATTACAGAAATTATATCATTAGGAATCACTACTATATTTAATAACACACTTAACATGCCGACTAAAACTGCA